AAATACACCTTTGAGTGTTATATTCTGTCTTCACTACTTGAGATGGTTTTAAGAACAGCCTGACTGCCGGATTAGATGGGCCAGGCTAAAAAGTCAAGCGATTGTGTGACCAAAACCGAGTTCTAGTAAGATAAGTGGTCACAGGGCAATCAAGTATGTTATTTATAGCTGAGGCAGACCAGGAGCAAGCTCAGAGGTGTTCATGCAGCCCAACTGGTTGGTTTCCCAGAAGGCTACCAACCCGAAACTTTTAAATAACACCGTCATCACTGAATCTTTAGTAGATTGGGAAGTAAAGGGCGAATAAAACCTGTTTCTGAGTTATTCACCCCACATGATTTCAGGAACCATTATATCTCACTGCCTACGGTAGAAAACCCCGGATAACCACAGACAGTTAACAGGGAACTAGTATTTTCTGTTTGAATCTAGAAGACACAGTTTTAACTCCACCTTGTTGGGAATATTCTTATTAACATCAGCTGATCAAATAACCTACGGCCGTATACAGGCTGTCATCAAAACACTTTATAATTACAAACCGTCCCAATAGAGGAAGAAGTCAAATTTATATACAAAAAAGAGCTAAGCTATAACTAGTCAGTGACCAACGAGCTTAGGACTAACGCCTTTTTTTTGAATTCGACCCATTACAATTTGTTAGTTTCGTTTTGGGCTGCTGTGGTTAAGAGTCACCGTTAGTTAGTTTAAACGAATTATGCCATCGATATCATGTACGTCAAGGGAGTTTTTCAATACAAACTTTTAAAATGCATATAAAAAACATGAATTGCTGCTAAACCAACGTACCGACGAATTTAACGCTACAATCAGAGAGGATATGCAATAAATGTTAAATTCCTCAATACATATTCAGATGATAACGATAGTAGGCTACTGTGGCCTGTGTTAATCCCTGTAAAATATCTCTCTCCTGAGATCTAACTTCTATTTGAAAGCGTTCACCGATCTGGCTGATACTACCAAATCAGGTAAGGAGTTTCTGTAGTTCACCACTGTGTTACAGAATCTAAATTCTTCACGTATTTTAATCGTCCTCGGTTTGAGCATTTTTTCGGCGGCCTTATAAATGTATCCCAGAAGAGGAGAAATTTTAGTTCCTAAATCACCCTAAAGCATACAGTATGCTAGAATTAAGTCGTTTCACTTCCTTCAGTGTGATAACAGAAAGAGGTTAAATGCTCAATCCTCTTTTCATAAGGAACTTGTGAGACACCACTAACTAATTTGGTTCCTATTTTTAATACTCTTTCTAGGGTATATCCCTCCTCCTTAAAGCATGGAATTACCGCTTGTATGCAATATTCTAGATGAGGTCTGAGGCATGAAACGTTTTAGCTGCGGCTGCAAGGCAATTCACAGTTGTTTTCAAATCTTTGCTGCCAGTGATTCCTAGGTCCTTCTGGTCGTTAACACCAGGTATTTTCGTGTCTCCTAGGAAGTAAGACGTATAAGACTTCTGTCCTAAGTGCATCACCGCGCTTCTCCTAGAATTAATATCTAAACTCCACATGTTTGACAACACAGCTAATATATCTAGATCGCTTTGTAGGGCCGATTTAAAATCGTCATTATTTACAGTTTTCTAGATCTTAATGTCGTCCGCAAATAATAATGAAGACGAAGTAAGAATCCACAGTAGTTCATTAACGCATAATGTGAACACTTGAGGGCCTAATACAGTTCACTGATGCACTCCACTCGATACTGCATTCCACCCAGATAGTGCACCATTAACCGTGACCTTCTGCCTTCTATCCGTCAGGTAGTTCCCAAACCACTCGCACAGACGTTGGAATAATCCGAAACCTTTTAGTTTACGAAGGAGATCTAAATGGGACACTATCGAGTGCTTTACTAGTATGGATAAAGAAAACGTCTAGTAGATGGTTCTTATCCTTGGCCTCGACCCAATTTTCCCTAGCTAACAATACTTTTGTCAGACAGGATCGTGCTGGACGGAATTCACGTTTTTCCACTGCCAGTAAGCCATGTTCCTCCATATGACCTTAGAGCTGATACCTTGTGTGTGTTTCTAACACCTTTGCTATAATGCAGATCACACTTACAGGTTAGTAGTTAGATGCCAACTACCTGTTCCCTTCTTTGAAGATTTAGCTTATAAAAGCATTTTTCCAGTCCACGTGTCGCCTAGCCTGGGTCAGACACATCTGAAGAACTCCCGTAAGTAGAATGTATACCATATTCGCCAAGGAGATTACCAGTCTACAGTGAAGTCCATCAGGTTCAGGTGCTTTACTCGGCTTCAGTTGAGACAGTAGTTTGAGGATATAAGTATAGAACTTGGGCACTGTGGTAGAGTATAACTCCATTATGGATAAGATTTCATTTTGATAAATCACAGTGTCGTACGGTAATATTTACTGATGACGTTTCGAGCACAAACTGTTGCTCGTAATCAAATGATATGATATTACTGTACAACACTGTGTGGTTTATCAAGATAAAGTCTTGTCAATAATGGAATGGTCTGAGGACCTTTGTGTGCTCTACCACAATTGGGCGCATTCGAGTTGCGATGAGGGTTATCTCGCCATATCTCTGGGTGGTACGATCAGACGAGAAAACATCACAAAAGTATTCAGGGAGATTTTCGGCCTCGTGCGATTCTTGTCAATCACATACTTACAGAGATTTCTAATTTTGCAGTTGTCCTTCTGGAAATTTTCCCTTCCCGTCATTATAAATTGGCCCCATAAGTTCTTCCTCCGTCTTAATAGCCTCTTAATTTCACTAGTAATCCAAGGTGGCTCATACGATAGCTTTCGAGGAGTGTACCAGGGTACAAAAGGTGAAGTGACACAACCTAGTGTATTCCTAAATCCCACCCAAGCTTCCTTGTCAGTCCAACTTGTATCAGCTGACTAGTCAACTACAGCTGCTGAGTTCCGGATCCCCACTATATGCAATTTCCCAATGTTTGGATGAGCAGATGTTGACCTGTGTATGAGAGAATGAATCTCAAACGTAAAAGTAATGACTACGTGGTTACTGCTGCCAAGCGGCGGAAGGCACCTGGTGTTACCAGCGTCCTCCTTCGGGTGTGTTGGTACCAAGTCTAGAGTAGACAGGTCATGTTCAGGGTGATACCTTGTTGGTGTATGCATATGTTGCACTAGTGCAGATTCAAGCACTGTCAGTGTGAGCTGCCTATTGAAACAGGTATACAAACTAGTGGATTTTAATTCCCCCCAATTAATATGTGGAGCGTTAAAGTCACCAACCACCAGACACCTATTTCTACTACTCAAGTAATTTAGAATGAAGTCATCAGATAGGCTAGCAGGAATTCCGTAAATAACTTCGATCGTTAAAGTGCCCTTGTTCAAGTTAATGACATGACTTGCGGCTTTACTGGTGCCGCTTTCATGGGCTTCTGACAGCGCTGACCTAATCCTTACGTCATCCCTGATGTATAGGCAACCCCGCCACCTTTCCGACTAATTACTGTGTCCGCTGTAATGCAGTTGTACTCAGGTATGAGTGTAGTTAAGTCTACACTCACTAACAACCATGTCTCAGTGATAGCAATGACATCAGGTTGTAGTCTTTCAGATAATTCTCCTAATTCGGCAAGTTTATTAAAAAGACTGAATGCGTTCGTATAGCCCATTGAAACACCTATGTGTTCGTCCGGCTTATGGATAGAGGTCTCGGCAGCATCGGTTTCCAAGACCTCACCACCCGGAAACCCAATAGCCTTAGGTCTTTTTCGCCTTTCTCTAGCCTGTATTTCAGTTCAGCTACGGCGTCTTTTCTCTTGATTCTGTCTTGTATCGACCAATCAGGCCATATTTTTAAACTCTTATCATTGATTTTGAACGCGTTTTTGGGGATGGTGCTCCCCTCTGTCTCGTTCTCTAAAACTATCTCAAGTAGTCGTGGAGAAGTTTCTGTAGCATCAGGGTTTGACTTTCCGATCCTGATGGCCTTTCTCATGTGGACTCCAATTGTTTTTTTGAGAAGTACTTCTCGAAAAATGGAGCTAACCGCCTTCAGATCATCTGCATGTTGGGCAACTGGATCTGTGTTTTTAGATTCTTCGAAGTTCCAGATGTTGACACTGTAACTAGAGTCCGCAGATTTCGGAGTTTTGTTGGTATTAACAGCCGTCGAGACCTTGTTAGTAAGACCGGTTACTGTTTCTTCCCTGTTTATTCGGCTTTTTACTTGTCGGCACCAACCAAGTGGAGTCGGTTTCTTCCACTTTGTTTTCGCCGTAACTAGAAGACAGTCGTACACTAGACACGCCGCGCTTTGGAGTGGCCATTTCACAACTGGTATAACCATCTTGGCACTACTTGCCCTTTCAGATTTTCTTTGTTTTTTGCGCTTTACCGCTGTGCCTCTTTGTATACGACAATTCAGGATGTTATACAGTCTCAGTTTTGAAACTGAGTCCTGAATCGCCATTCTTTCTGATGCTTTCTGATGCAGGCTTTTCGACTCAATTTTTCAGCAATTTCTTGGACATAAGAAGTTCTACTGCATCTTGGATGAGGACATCCAACTGGCCACTGCAAAATTTGCACACCAACGGAGATGATGACTTACGACACCTCTTATAGGCTACTGATGATAAGACATTGCAAACTTTGTGAAACCACAGGCTGTAGTTTCCACACTGCATCTCACCATCCACCGGAAATTGGGAGTCCGGTCGTCTACAGTAGTTAGTCAGGCTCATAACTGTGTAATTTGTTCAAACTGCGCAAATCTATATACATGAAAACAATAAGGTAAATATCAAATAAAACACAAAATTTGAATAAATAAATAAGTTAAATTGAAATAAAAACCTTCTGATGTGATTTGAACCACAAAGACAAAGTTTACATCACAATGTATTCGTATCCCGCGCAAATTGCCTTGTGGATGTAGTTTTCCCTGAAACAGTATTTGCACTTCGATATATGAATCTTATCGATGATCCTCAAAAGCTTGGTACTAATTTTTCTAGTAAACGAACATTTAAAGTCATTTGATATTTCCACCCGAGCGGCTTTTTCGAGATCCTTTACGTGTCTTAAGTTTCCACATTAGTTGGTTAGCAGTGACATCACGCGTGTGTTATCTAAGTTAACTTATTCATTTTTTGTTATGACATCGTCAATACTGTTTTCATCTTTCCATGGTCCTATAAGTCGACATGTTCATTCTCATAGATAGTTTCACTTATGCATTATGATATGCAGATAATTTTGAGGCTTTATCAAATAAATTTACTCAGTGATATGATTATATTCTACAACAGTGTCCAAGTCTTATACATACGACAATTGGTATGTCTTTGAAAGCTCAGACCTTGTAAGAAAGTTCTGTAAATCCTTTGAGTGATTATATATTATGCAATATGCTCTTTTCAGATGAGCTCCTTATTTTTCTAATTATTCAGTAAATATGGTTATTGAACATAAAATATTGTTATCACAGCTTTCAGCAGTAGAAGGAAATCAAAAGTATCAAGATACGAGGTAATGTCAGTAATACTTTGCTCTTCAATAACTCCCCACCAAGTGTGGTAATCAATGGAGAAGTCGATGTATGGTTGTGCATAAGTACATCAGTTCAGCTTACTGCACTTCGAGGATGCATAAAATTAGGATAGAATAAGATGTCGTATTGTATTGCTGATGTAGTGAAAATGTGGTTAGTCGAAAGTTTATGGGTATCATAGTTGTGGAGTATTTATATCTATTATTATTATTGTTCCCTTGGGTTCCTAGTGGAACATAGGGCTTCAACTGCACGTCTCCACTTGCTTCTGTCTTCTGCTGTACTTTTCACCTGCATCCATGTTAGTCCATACTGTTTCGACTCCTCTTCGCACGATCTCCTCTATGTCACCCTTGAACGTCCCACTCGCCCCTTCCCTTTCGGGTTCCACTCGAGCGTTGGCCTGACGCGCGATGTCACCCAGCAGCCTCCTCAGCGAGTGTCCGATCCATCTCCACTTTCTCCTGCATATTTGTTGGGCGATTGGTTCTTGTTTTGTTTGTTCCCATAGTTTCTTGTTGGTGATTCTTTCCAGCCATCTGATCTTCAGTATAGAGCGAAGACAGCTGTTGATGAAGGTCTGCAACAGGATGTTGGAAATATTCTTTGTGACCCGCCAAGTTTCTGATCCGTATAGAAGAACTGACTTGGTGTTTGTATTGAAAATCCGAATTTTGTTGTTGATGTTGAGTGACGAAGATTTCCAGATTGGTTTGAGGTTGATGAATGTGTTTCTCGCCTTCCCGATTCTCGATTTGACATGCTCGTCCGTTCCTCCTGTAGTTGAGACAATGCTCCCTAGATAAGTGAATGAAGTAACCTCTTTCAAATCCCTCCCGTTGATGATGATTGGCGCTGGGTGTTGCTGCTGCTGTTGTTGTTTGTTGGTTGGTTATTTTCATAACCAGCGTCTTGTCTATGTTCACCTGGAGTCCTGTCTTTGCTGCTTCTTCGACCAGTTTGTCGGTTTTCGTTTGTAAGTCTTCGATTTTGTGTGACATCAAACATAAATCATCCGCGAAATCCAGGTCTTCTAGGTTCTTCACGTCGGTCCAGGATATCCCTGTCTTCTCGTTTCCCACTGTCTGATGCATAATCCAGCCCACCGCAATTAGGAATATCATTGGTGATAACAAGCACCCTTGTCTGGCTCCTGTGTTTACTCCAAACGCCTTGCTGAGTTTTCCGTTGTGGATCACTTGACATGTGCCGTTGTCGTACAGCTGTTGAATAAGGTTGATGAATATTTGGGGTACTCCGTAGTACTTGAGTAGTTTCCAAATTACCTCTCGGTCAACGCTGTCGAAGGCCTTCTCAAAGTCTATGAAGGAAGTTGAGGTAGAGGTTTGATTGCCATTCCATGCTTTGTTCGATGATGATGCGTAGAGTTGCAATTTGGTCAGAACATGATTTGCCTTTCCTGAATCCAGCTTGTTCTAGTCGAGATTCTGTATCCAGTGCGTCCTTTATTCTCTCCACGGTGATGCGACTCAGAATTCTACTTGGCGTCGACAGGAGCATGATTCCTCGCCAGTCCTTGCAGAGTCCTAAGTCACCCTTCTTTGGTAGTTTCACGAGGTAACCTTTCCTCCAGTCAGTACGCACCTTTCCCTCCTTCCAGACTTTTTGCAATAGTGGAGTCAGCATATCTGCTGTCGTCTCTGGGTCCGCTTTCAGTGCTTCAGGGGGTATCGCATCTGGTCCAGCTGCTTTTCCAGCTTTCAGAAGCTTGATTGCATCCAAGACTTCATCTTTCGTTGGAGGATTGGTGTCAACTAGATAACTAGCTCGCTAGTTTTCTAGCCGGTCCCAAGCCCGGATAAAAAGGGAGGGTTGGGGCGTGGTGCTAGCAACTCCACCCCCAAAACTTAACCAAATTGCTACAGAAACTTCAACGCATAAATATATTAAAAATATTTATATCTACTGAGAACGATTATAAGCTTTATCGTATCTAACCATTAATTCTCAGCATACCTCGGACTCCAGTTAAGCTCTGACCATCAGCCATGGATTTTCGCCATCGCTTTTGATGTGGTTTTCTGTTGACTGGAAAGTTTAGTTGCGCGGCTTCAAACTGGAGATGCTCTTAAAATGCCTGTTACGACAATGATGGTTTCACAATTAAGTGATACAACTCAGAGAACGACAACAAATAAACCAAAATCCTCTATTACATCTAAATAGTTACCTTTAAGCCTGATGATTTCTTACTTTTTCCAACCTAATCGCACTTCCATCAACATTGTTGGTGGGGAAAATGGTAGTCGGGGCATGTTTCACGTTGCTGGCTATCTCCACTAATGAAGAATTACACTGCATGGCTTGCTTTCTTCACCACTGAACCAAATCTATCTATTACTTATCAAATTTTCCCACTGTAGACGAAGACATGGTTGAAGTTATATAACTCCTTCAGGTCTTCTACTTTTAGTGCTAATGTGCCTTCTTAAAGTAGGATGGGATAGCATCAAAAACAACACAAGCTGGGAAATGAAAAGCGACATTTTTGTATATGTTCTAAGACTTCATCAGTAAGAATTTCATTTAGATTGATATAACTTGGCGTGCAAATAAAGTTATCTACATATTTCACCGAAAATCTATTGTTTCTATTGGATTTCATTGCTTGACTTTTTCCATTTTAAAGTGTTTAGTCGTGTTCTACCGGTTCTGTTTAATTTGAACCTATCTACATTAGAAAACCGATAACTGGTGACAACTGTTGATTACTACATTTATTCTTTCCAGAACTCCTGAAACGGTTATATAGTCAGTCCATACAATTCATCTAGAAAGTTTGATGCTTAATATTTGAAGTTTATTAGTAGTCATTAAAGTAACCAGTTATGGCGAAATATCATGCAACCTCTCTGTGCTAATTATTATTACTGCCAAAAAGAAATGAGTTTGTCTAACCAACCAATTAACCCAACTTTTTTTCCAGATGTTATGGGAAGATGTGGAGCTACAATTCAAAATTGGTTCTTAGCAATAGAAAAAGGCGATCTGTCGCTGGTTCAAAAACTCTGGAAGGATATAAGTGATATAGATGTCACGGATACATACATCCTCAATAATATTAAGGTATGGTAGTTTTACGTTAACATATTCTTTAGCATGAAAATGTAACTGGGCTGATTATTGGTGCCCATTTCGGTCACAAGGATGTAGTTAGATGGCTTTTAAAAAATAAAGCAAATGTTAACTGGGAAACTAATGTTAGTTGTTGATTTGTGTTATCATATATCAACTATTTTTAGCTGAAATGGCGTCCGATTCATTTCGCCGCTAAACGTGGTCATTGTGCCACGGTGGATATGCTTTGCAGCAGTGGAGCACTTGTTGATCCAGTTACAATGGTATGTTACAGTTTTGTATGTTATTCCCCCAGAATAATGAAACGCCTCTGTCGCTGGCTCTTCAGTCTCACATGCGCGATACTGTGCGCAAACTTGTACATCTAGGAGCACAAGCAAACAAAAGTAACGAAGTAAGTAAGGGCGAGAGGATTTTATATCTGGTTTGTGAAACTTTCAGTCACATCACGTACCTTTAAGCCTTATTTATAAATGTGTTTATGGTCCTAACTTGATACATTGGTAATTTATCTTTATAGAGTCTTGTCTATCACTACGTTTGCCGTGGGATGCTAGTACCGGATAATTCATCACAAGCGCAACGTGAGAATGTTGATACTGCTCGTGATGGGAGCTTACAGTTGCGAAATCAAAGTCCACGAACCAATTCATCATCAGTACCAGATACCGGTTCTTCTCCATCCTCAAATGGTGATACAACGGACTTTTCGATTGCAGTTTTCGATAGTCAAGTTATAATGAATCAACTTCAGTGTCAGTCGACAAGTTACGACTTAGAACTTGCCAGACGAAAAAGAGAACTAATCAGGCGCCTACCATTCCTACCATGTATGTCACAACATTCAGCTAATCAATTCCTGCAATTGACTCAGCGCGCTTCCCGTGCAGATTTACCCCTGGAAAATCGTCTATCTACAGTTTCTCATCTCTTCAGTCTGCTTCCTATTCTGTCTCCCAGCGATACTCATAGTGATCTTTCCAGTAAGACTGCATCGATTGGCATTATCATTGAACCATATTTGCGTCTTTTTGAGGCGTGCTTGTGTGAATCTCATTGCTCCCTAGAGTTGTGTGTTCAATTAAGTAGGCTTGCTGTGCATATAGCAGCCTTAGGGGCAGGAAAACGTTTTGATACCAATGGATCTGTTACTAGTGACGAATTTTCTCCTAAAACAAACACCCCATCTGCTCATATCATTTCTTACATTTTAAAGTTACTCAAGAGGCTGCTTCTCAAAGGAAATACTCAGTATAGATCAGGCATTCTTTCACATATTTCACGGATCTTATCAGATTTATGCTTACCAATGAGTCATAAAAGTAATCAACCTATTAGTGTTATTTGTTCCTGGTGTGATCTTTTACCATTTGTTTCAAGCATCATTTCAAGTCTTATTCGCTTAGGTGAAACTCTTGATCAACCACTAAACGTACCACGTTTTGCACAACTTGTTGGTCTTATTGCTCGATGTTTGATTAGCTCTCTTCCAAAAGCCAGCCAGATTTCCCTGTCCTCGCGAATTTCTGACCTTGCAGATATTCTTGTGGGCTGGAGTGTGGATTCGTCTAGTGGCTCAAAAGATGTAAATGTAAGCCCTATATGTGACGAAATTTACTTTGGCCTTTCACATTGGTTTTTCCTACGTACAGAAGATAAGCCTGAAGAATCAAAGCAGTTTATATCGTTGCCGGTTGTAAATGAAAATATTCGAGAAATGGTTACTCACTTATTGGAAGATAGCGAAAATTCACTGAATGCAGCTATTTCAGAAAGCACCACTGTTAACAACAAACGTAGTCCTACAGTACCAGGAGGTGCGATACCTTCATCTGACCCAAACGGTCATTTTGTATCTCTTCAACTCTTCCTCAATGTTTTGTCTAGCATATTTGGAGGTATCTGCAATCGTAACTTTGCTTCAGAAGATATTGGTTTCGACCATTTAATGTCTGGTGACGTTTCACAATGGATTGAACGTCTGCTGCGCATTGTCCAATCAACAAACGCTTATTATACCTCATTGTCATCACAAAAACAAACTACTTCATGGCACTCTTCTCATACCCCGACTTGTGCTTTTCATGTCCCATTTATTGTCCTGGATGGAATTCAGTCTTCAGTTTTCCAACTATTAAGCTGTTTGGTACAATTTTCTGACTGTTCAAATGCTGATATTCTAGCCGTACAAAACTGCTTGATATCTAGTGTGAATGTTGAAAGTTTGCTCTTTACTGATTATTCATTGACTTCGTTACTTGATCTCATATTCACTATCCTGAAAGTGAAATACTCCTCTACTTCAACCTCTGTAATTCCTTCGTCGTTGTCAGTTTATTTTGATTCTCATTCAAAACTGCATCATTTCAAATTGTGCTGCAAATCAGATAGCAGGAGGACTGATACACCAAGTCAGAAAATTTTCCAAGTACTGTGTCATTTATCGTCTATGAATTCTCTTCAAAAAGCTGTTTGCGAATTAGCATTATCTGATCTTGAATTGGCAACAAATTCTCAGAAAGATTTAGATTTGTCTGTATCTTCAAGCACTTGTAATTTGGAAACCTTATCATTATTCAGTTTATCACTGTTATCCAAATTGATGCGAAACATGTCTTATGAACTCAGAAATGAATTGCTTTGCCGTATATTTGAGATTGTTCGAGTAAACTGTTTGAAGAACTGGTCTGTTGTTCCAACTCGTGTCAGAATAATCATCCTGACATTTTTGAATAATCCATCACTACTTACAACATTTCAAACAGTCAACATTATGGATATGTTAACCAGCTTTCTTTCTATCAGGAATATTTCCAATATGGAGGGTTGCATTCTTCTGAATTTAATCGACTACTTTTTCTCTGAAGGTATCATGTGTTCCGATGATAAGCTAACTTTATTTACTCACCTCGTAGTATTGTCAAAGCGTACACTTGTTTCACAAGTAGCTTTGGATTCATCTCGTCAAAATGTTTTTATCTTGTGCGCGAACGTATTTGTGAAATATGCTCTCCCATACATCAAGAAGGGTGATGCAAAACTTGCTTCTTATCTCTTACACTTAGCACAAATCTCATTATCTTACCCATGCTTGCAAGTTCAAAAAGTTGGTAACGATTTATTACTTCTAGTTGGATCATTTACTTCCAATAAAGTCGAATTTCCATCAACCAACTTATATTCAGAATTGCTCTGGATTACCACTCGACGACCAGATTATTCGTCTACAGCTTTATTATCGTCAACTAGTCTTGGTTACACAGATTGTAATAATAGTCCAGCGGCGATGGTCACTTCTTTTCCTAGCCTTCCCGCTGTTGCAGGAATTCTGGGCATTTTAACAAGAGGAGCTCCTTATACACAGAAATCAGAAAGCAGTCGACTGAGAATTCTAAAGAACCCAAATGATTGGATCCGACGTTTGTCGCATTTAATTTCTCCGCTTCCATCAGATCGCAAACGTGACCTGTCATTACTTCAGTGCACTAGTTTTATGCAGCCGGTATTATGGCACACAGCATGGGCAATGGTCGATTACAAATTGAAGGTTGCTCCTTGGGCTAATCCACTGAAAACATTCTTCTCTCTTGAAGGAACTTTAAGAGCGTTTCTACGATCAAAAGACACCATCGATTCTTGTAATGGAAACTCGAATTCAATAGCACCTTTTTATGTAGCTTCTTCTGAGGCGCTTGCTCATCAGACAACCAATCGACAGCTTAGTCAAATTCAGTTGCTTATGAGCTTTTTGGGGTATCTTGAACGCATTATTTTCAATGCCACTAGTGGTTTTGCGACTGCACTACCGCGTCCTTCAACAACTGCTGCTCTATTTTTCACTGCAAATGAAAATACTTGTACCCAGTGGTACAATCGAATTCGAAATATTCTAATTCTAATATCAAGTGACTTACCACTGGTATCGAGAGCTGGTGTAGGACCAGCCATTGAAGTCTTATCTACTACTGTCTATCACTCATATAGCTTGCTGAGGATTGTCTCAAGTTACAAAACCCCGAATGATCGTGATGTGTGGCTGAACACGTTGAGGCAGTATGGTGGATCAAGTGACATAATTATTCATTTATCCAAATCGCTTCATAAATTGGGAGCTTGGGAAGAATTGGAGGCTTTAGCACAGTAAGTTGTGCGAGACATACATGTGTTCACACTCCTAAATTATTGTTTACCATTTTGTTTATGTAATGGATTTAAATTCTCATCACGTGATTACGGTTTCACAAAGATTGTATTAGTAGGAAAGGTTACGAATTTTTGAAACTTGATAAATTGGGAGATTGGCTTATATGCTTAAGAGCCGGATTTTCAGTGGGTGGATCCCTAGGTTCGAATCCCGTTTGCATGACGTCGTCCCGGGCAACTAGATAGTATCATCAGCCCTCACACAATAATTGTGTGGCTCCCATACCTTGGGATATGAAAAACCTGTTCTGGGAGTTGAGTTCAAACAAAGCAAATTTGCTTTACTGAGTCAAAGGTATATAGTTTATAGCTAAACTGTCTTCTGACTACATTTCATCCTTAACATTGTATTCCAGTCGAACACCTATAAATGATCAAATCATCAATCGTTCTAAAAATCAGCAAATACACCATGCACTGTTAGATGCATTAGCTTTAATACGAATAATTGAAGTGGTGTATAACTGACGAGCTTGTGACTTCCTCTTGCATGAATCCTTCAGAGCATCTTAAAATCAGAAACAGTTATAGTAGGCACAGAAATCTAAACTGTACCGATGGTCTCTTCCCAAGTGAAACTCTCATGCACTGTTATTATTTAACCACATATTGAAACCTTATCTATTCATGTCTATTCATGATACTGTAGGTAAACAAGTGGCGTCGTTAACCCTCACATGACAGTCACGGTTGAATTATTTGTATGGGGTTGTTCATGTTAATCTGATAACTGTTGAATATCCCACTGTTCCCTCAGGAGATTCATTACTTGCCGATTTTAAATTATATCAGTTGGTTACTATTAGAAGAGTTTTTGTATGCATGTATCATAAGTTTTATTTCTATATTTCTAATGAACGAAATATTCCCATATTGAGTCATAAGAAAAAGACGTAAACAGCGAGGAAAATTTTCTTTTATCGACGATTCATTTTTCATAAGCTGTAAAATCGTAATTATATTTAACAAAGAAATCATAAGACCAATCAGATAGTGGTAAAATTTAGTTGTCAAGCTTGTTGGTAGGTAGTGCTGGTTTCTAATATTATTTTGTCAAAGAACTGAGTTTTGCCCAGATACTTATTGTGCGATTGTATTGAATGAACTTGCATTTCTAGATGGTTGGACGACCTCTTCACTCCACAACAGAATCCATTTTCCTGGCTTCATGGTGTTTCTTTTTTAACTCGTGGAGATTGGGATCAAGGCATTTTACAACTAACTGGTTATCTGGATTCCAACTTATCCAAAAGTAAAGTATTGGCTTCAGAAAATTCTGCCACTAGCGAGACCAGTGAAATTTCCATTCATGCAGCGTCCACAGTGTATGTTACTGACGTCCTTCTTCAAAGTTATCTTCTTGAAGGCAACTATGATGCTGCTGTGAAACTACGCAGTCGTGTAAAGCCGTATTTCAAGGGAAAATTACTGAAAGAAGATTTCGCACTAAAGCTTACTTCAGCACGTCTTGACTGTATGAATAAATTGTTCAAGTAAGTTTAGTCGAACGTGAAATTCCACTCAAATATTTTACCTTTCATCAATAATTGGAAAATTCACCGTGAAAATTATTGTTCTGTAGGTCATATTATTTGTGTACAATCACTATCTATTTCTCTTCTATTATACCTTATAAATTGTTTAAGTTGTATGACAAACTGTAGATTGACTTATTTATCTAACTGTGATTTACTTTTAATTATGTTTGAACAATGATATGTCAGTTGTGCAGTTTCATTGTTAATCTTCGAAAACATCATTTCTCAATGCGAATTCAAAAAAGAGTTTGTAAAATCTTCCCTTTAATACATCTAAACAGATTAAAGGTGAGTATATGTCTCGTTAGCTTTTAGCATTAGAGTTTTAGTGACTAGGTTTCGTGTTTGAATCCCATCACATCTGCCTCAGCTTGAGCAGTCAGGTAGTATTACTAACCATCACAATAAATGTGACTCAACCTGGTCTGTGAAAAGATCCGTAATTAAGTTTCAACTGTTGATATTGAGGAACTGTGGTGATACTTTCATTCTTTCAAGTTCATTGTAAAATTGACATCCTATAATTTAAAGAACTGTAGCTGATTGGTTTAAACTTCCAACTGGTTCTTACATCATACATGATCCATTGGCTCGAGCACTCAGCTTTTTTCATTCAAGTAGGTCCCGGGTTAGAGTTCTGCTTCAGACTGAAAAGCTGGGTAGTATCAGGAGCCCTCACACAGTATGTGTCTTACGACTTGACACATCAAAAATTTGTACGGGTAATAGAACTCGTATACACCAAGCATAATACACAATTCCATATTTCGTTGCACTATAATATCTGACAGATATAGATTTGAAATCATGACTGTAATTTTCCACTTAGTCATGTTTTCTGTTTCTCGCATCAAAGTCATATGAGTCGTTTGACATTTCTGTAGTTCTTAGTTTGAGTAGCGGTAATATAATGCATGAATGTTGCAATGCTTGACTTTGATCATCCCCTTTTCCTTCGTACTTTTTCTTTTGCTAACAGATGGACTTCTTCAAAAGATGTTAGTGTTAATCGTGATCCGTCTGAACTTTCGTCGCACAACTTTCTTCAAACGCACCTGAACAGTTTACTCATCAATGCTGCGTGTTCATTGCGTCAAACTCAAGATGTATCCTCACCTAGGTGTTTTTCCGAATTGATTTCCATAGTAAGACAAAGGTCAGCAACTGCAACCTCCCTTCCTTCCTTAAACATGTTTGCTGATTATTATTCTCAGTCCAAAACTGTTCTCAATGATGGCTTACAGGATTGGTTGATCAAGGCTCAGTTGTTGATTACTGAAGAGACAAGCACTTCGTATGAAATATCAGATCCTTTGACCTACTCATCATGGATGCACCTCGCATCATTAAAGGAGAAAGCCCACTCTACTTCTGAGCTTTCCGCTTGTCAATGGGCATGCTTGAATAACTCTCCACAACTGGCGCAGCGTTTAATTATTAAGGCAGCTAAATGTCTTACGCTGCTGGAACATAACGTCTCTCAAGACAAAGGAAAAACGTCATGTTTTGATGAACTTTGTAATGTGGTTTTGGCCAGTTCCAGCGATATCCTGTCTAAACTGTCACGAGTAGGTGCTTTGCAGTTCTATTACTGCTTGGCTAAAACTCTGTGGCTATCATGCAGTGGAACAGAAGAAAATGAAAAAGATGGTAAAATTAAAGCAATCGCAATGTTGGTATCTGCTCTAAAAGAAACATTATTTCAAAAAGTGGATTGTAGTATGTTAAAAACTGCAACTCAGTGTAATTTGGAAGCTGAAGTGGCTCTGTGTCTCTTCAAGTGGTTAGAATCGCCGTCCGGTCCCGATAATGTCCCATGGACTAAAAGGATATGTCAAGATTTGACAAGTTCAAATATATCTGAACAAAAGGTAATTAGAACGGTACTTTATTTTCACTTTTTGTGCTGTGTTATATTGTTTAGTTAATTCACCAGTGAATTCTAAGCTCCTTAGTGTTTTGACCTTTCATTGTTCACAATAGACTGTTATAAATTTTCTACTGTAGACCATTCTCATGAACTGACTTAAATAAAGTCATCAAATAAAATTGATAATTTATAAGAAAAAATGAAGGCTAAGGTTGGTGTTTTTGGTGTTGGGTTCTCTGGGCTAGTCGCTAAAAATCCCGATACCACTGAAAACAAACCTATAGGGTCAGTGCTATGCTGCAGCATAGTGGGAAGCATTCATTTTTGAAGTCAGTTTTCATGTGTAAGGTGATAGTATATCCTCTCGAGAAATCATATCGAAAAGTAAACTTTTAAATCTGGGAGATAAAAAGCTGATGAAGTCATAGGATTTCAAGCACATGTAGGTTGAACTATTCGTTAGTCCTGTTGTTTGCTAACAACAGCCACACATGCTGGAATCAATGATTTGTTCATACATATAGCTGTCTAGAATGTATTTTAGATCTGATATGTTGCCACTACACTCTAGAGATCTGTGTCTAGTAGTAACAATATTCTTGATAACTATTGTCGAATTTTCCTAGCATAAGCATTGAAAAATGGAAACAAATAAGCAAATGACAGACAATTTACTACCCATCCTGACCAATTAGTGAATTGGTTCGATTTTATGAAATAACTTTTGAACATTAACTATTTTAAAGGAATCTTAAGACGCCAAACTTTCGTGCATGATTTGATAATTTCATTGTTAAAGATTAATTCTGGTTAGAATAGGCTTTTGTAGAGTGAGGATTACATTTGAGTAAGTACCCAGTTGGTCAGTAGACTAATTAGAAGTTAGCTACTCAGAACGCGGCTATGGATTAGACTTATTGTATGACGGCCGATTGTACCACCCAGTTGTACCACTCAAGCTGGAATATGTGGAGCGAGATTCAAATCGGGGACCCGTTGGCTACAAGTCGAGTGCTTAAGCGAATAAGCCACTGATCCTTTGTTTATGGACGTTTTAATTGTTGGTGTTGCCACTTCCCGGACACGCATAGTTTTCCTCATAACCTTTAAAGTCGTAAATTCTAATAAATTGCTATTATGAGATTTTCATTTAACGCACAACAGAAGCTCTAAGTAATTCCGTTAATTTTGGTTTAGTTTTGTTGGATCAATTTCACTCCTTTAAATTTCAAGTATAACCTAACCATTTTTCTCTCGATAACTGAATTAATAGCCAAGTTTTACTTCATTAAATTTAGCCATATTTATGATCTGAATAGGTATTAATAAGAATGCCTAGCTTAATGACTTTCAGTTGTTACAGTCACCCTTTTTGGTATTGTGACAGCGATGTATATTCTACTATGGTGGAATCACTGCACAGTTTTACTATTTCTATTTATTTTGTGCTACAGTATACTTTACGTATATTCATTTTTTTCACTACTATATTTCCAATTTTTCTCACTACTTTGGTTTGGTTGCTGAAGTTCGTTTAATTTCTCTTGATTTCTAGTCGCAAAGACTGTTAGCAATTGCATCAGACCTCGATATGTTCAGTCGTTTTGCTGATGTTTCTTGGCCTAGTGGCATTCCCGGTGTCAACGAGTGTGTTCAACCTACTACAACATATCCTCTCTCAGCGTCCACGTGGCCTAACCGCCTATTAATGATGGCTACTCATCTAAATGCAAATGGTTTATCTGCATCTGTTTGGCTAGAGATGGCAAATTGGTGCTATGCTCGAGGTTGTAAAAAAGTAAGTAAAATACCACTTTCATAAAGTCTCCAATTATTTTTGGTTGAATACTTTTCAATGATCGCAAACGGATAAATATAGTGTCAATGTTTTCGATTGATTCTTTGGAATCTTGATTGAAGTCGAAGAGGTATAGAAATGACCGATGCAGCTTTCATAATTTACTATTAAACATTTCAGAGTGAATGTGTTCATCTGCTGTTCTGTTAACGAAAATTTACCGGCTATGAAGTTGTATTGTTAATTTTTTTAAATATAGATTTGTATTCGTATTTTTCTCTGTTCCTATTGACAGATTGATGAGTTTCAGTCAGCTGCAAGAACGTATATTAAGGATCTCAGCGAAATGTCTCCAAGTCATCCTGCTGTCCCTGTCCTGTTGAAATTAGTGGATTCAACAGAATATCCCGTATTAACTATGTTAACTGAAAAACTGTGCATCGCATCACGAGAAAACACAAACAATGATGAGAAATCAGATTCATCTATACCAGCACTAATCAGTGCTTTAGCTACCTTTTTAGCTACTGAGGCTTGTAATGAAGATGAAATGGAGGGTTGCAAACATCACAACACATTAAATATTCATCTACATCAATTTTCTCTTCATTGTCCTGATGATCAGTTAGATGGACAGGTTAGATTAACTATTTTCAGTTTATTACTAAATAAACAAAATTTTTTGTTGTAGAGGAATGATAATTAAATGTTAATTAATTGCATTATTCGGATTAGTGCCATCTTTGCATTTACTTTCTATTTAAACTACATACGACTATTGCACGTAGTAAAAAATTGATTGGCTTCAATTACTATACAGTCACCACCTTATGCAAGTTGTTCTATGTGACCTAAAATCTGGTGCGCATAGAGACTTGGATTTTAGTATCGCTATCGGTGATCTACTGTTCGTTAGTTATCGAACGCAGTTTTAACAAAACGGAGAAATTAGCCACTGGTCAACTCTTTAGTTTCTTTTATGGCCAGTAGATAAAATTATTGGGAATTTTCGAACACTGATCTTTACCATAAACATTCCCAACTTGAATGGAGCATAATATATTGAAGAAAACAAGCATAGTGTGAGAGAATGACTTTTATTAGCTAATAAAAATACGCCTTAGCGTCATAGTACTTCAATAAATTCAGTTTTCGGCACTCCAGCATGTCTTCTTATACTTACCGTAATTGTCGTATATAATTACACTCACCAGTATGCATTTTCCTTCCCTGATTTCATTTTCCCTGACAGTCTATTGTTCCTGACGCTTCCAGACTTCATTTTTTTATTCCTTTACGTTCCCAGTGGAACAGGGTTCCAAGTTAGAGGCTCAGGGTTTCGGTAGCTATGTACTATTTATATACACCTCATAAGTGGTTTTAATCAAAACATTTTGTGTTTATGACTACAAGGTTACCTATATAAGATTATCAGCTTATATCTCGTCATGATGCTTTTATACAATCTTTTCTGCTTATTATCCTTGCAGATACAAGAAAAGTTCTGTTCACATTTAGTCAGGATTCTTCCGCAGTTGAAGAAGTCAAGCCTGACTTCAGATTTAATCCAACTTCTGCACCAACTATTAGTTTCAATAACAGAACGTCAACATGCCTTGCATATGTCAGCAGCGCAAGCTTATGCCACATTTCTTAATATAGTGGATCAGTCTGGTGTACCTGAAAATTCGCTCTTCTATAAGCCAATCACCAAATTAGATATCACAACAAGTAAGTTTAAATAGATGCATAATTCACATTTTGCAAAACAACAGGGACAGCTCATTTAATATGTAGTTTATCTCAGATCCAAGAACAGTGAACCTATTCGAACTATTCTTTTACTGAGGGTGTTTCACTTACAAAGGTAACGAGTGGAAGTATTTCTAGATAGAGGATAAACGAATGATAGTCTTAACAGAATATTGACAGAACAGATATTTGTGAAACGAGATTGATATTATACTCTTAGGTATTTTTAATCAACTGCTTGAATTGTAACAGGGTATGGCGTCAAAGTACTGTTGATAAAGTAGCACAGTCTTTTACAAACAAGAATCCAAAAAATGTCGGTAATCTTAGATTATTTAGAGCTTCATATTACTTAATCACCGAAATCATTTACAGCTTTTGAAGTTTATAAAATGTGTAAACATTTCTTTTAATCGAACGTATTTGTGTCTTTTTAATTTAGCTACTTTGAAATTTCTGGATTTGTTGTGCTCTCCGTCTCGTAAGCTCAGAGGCATGATTTCTGGTTTCCTAGATCAAGCCAATCCAGTACTACAGGAATTCTATCAAAGTCATTCTTTGAGTGTAGATAAGAGTGAACTTAAACAGACAAAAACAATTACATCCAGTTTAACACTAGGTGGTCCAACAATCTGGGGCACCTGTTTACCTCAAGTTCTGATTCAGTTAGGTTTACCGGATGGCATGATTCGAAACTGTTTAGTTGCACTACTGAACCGACTTATCGTTATTGATATTGACAATGTTAGTTCCAAATGGAGTTCTCCGTCTTACCGTCTAGCAGCCCAACTTGTTTTTCCGGCTGTAGTTGCTGCTTCAAATCCTGTTACCACAAATACTGGACAAAAAAGTATGATTCTAGGAAAAAGTATTTTATATTTTATATGTCATATATTCATATAGCTGCTGTTTGCATTTGTTTGGTTAGCTTTGTTTACATGTTACTTTTATGTCATAATCTTATACTAGAAATCTCACAGTATCAGTTTTACTTTTAAAAGTCAAAAATGGATGAACTTGCACTCGAGGTTAGACGTTGAGTACTAGGTAAGGAGGGAAAGTCGATACACGAGGTTAGGACATGTGTTACGCATGCCTAGTCATCGCCTTCCTCGACGGGCAATGTTAGCTGACATAGGGTCAGGTTGGAAAAGAGCCAGTGGTGGTCAAACCAAAACACGGCCTCATCAGTCAATGAAATCCACAACAGTGAAACAGTATTATTTACTGGATGACGTTTCGAACAAAATTTATTGTTCATAATCATATCAATGTAATCACACGACTTTGACACTTGAGTTTTATAGTTTTCTTTGTTTTCTCCTATTTGTCGTATGGGTGGTAGAATTTTCTAGATATCGGGGACAGGTGTTGAATCATTCCTATTACATGTATTTGTAGTTGATTCGATAAACAAAGCTTCTGTTATCAATCTCTCCCTATACCCTGTGACATTAGATTTTAAAACTGTCATCCTATCCCATCCTATTGTATGGTTGTGTGTAACTGCGTGTGTGTCATTTACATACACATTCACTGTACTTAAAATACAAGATATAGATAGGTTTTTCGAACACATCAACTCGAAGGTTGAAGCAATGTCAGTAAAAATAGGATTGGTGAAATGTTTAAATGACAGAGCACAAAAACTAAGTAGTACCAAAGAAAATCTAAAACAGGAACTGATACACATAAAAGAAGCTTTGAAACTTAATAATTACCCGGATAAACTAGTCAGGAAATATGTAAGGAAATGTAAAAATAAAATAAATAATGATAGTAGCGATAGTGATAATAACAATAATGATGATAATAATAATAGTGGTAATAATAATAGTATTAATGATGACACCAACAATAAGGAATCTAAATCATCAGTAGTAATTCCATACAAGGAAGGAACCTCAGAAGCCTTACGCAGAATTCTTAACAAGGCAGGAATAAAAACGGCATTCAAACCCACAAACTCAATTAGAAACAAACTTTATCGGCTAAACGATCCTGTGGAGCATTCAAAACAAAACAATTTAGTTTATCTAATACCCTAACTGCAATGATTTTCAGGTCAAATACATAGGTCAAACTAGTAGAACAGGGGCAGTCAGACTAGCTGAACATAAAAACTTAGCAAAATCTAGATTGATTGATCCAAATAAGATAAGAAATCTAGAGAATAGTTCAGCTATAGCACTACACGCAGTTACACACAACCATACAATAGGATGGGATAGGATGACAGTTTTAAAATCTAATGTCACAGGGTATAGGGAGAGATTGATAACAGAAGCTTTGTTTATCGAATCAACTACAAATACATGTAATAGGAATGATTCATCACCTGTCCCCGATATCTGGAAAATTCTACCACCCATACGACAAATAGGAGAAAACAAAGAAAACTATAAAACTCAAGTGTCAAAGTCGTGTGATTACAATTGATATGATTATGAACAATAAATTTTGTTCGAAACGTCATCCAGTAAATAATACTGTTTCACTGTGTGATATATCTAATAAACAAACTAATATGGAGTTACTTACTACCAGAGTGCCCAAGTTTTACACATATATGAAATCCACAACAGTTAGTCAAAGGCACGTAGGAAGATGTAGACTTCCTGGTTGAGGTCTTCGGGACGGTAAACGCCAATGGCTGGAGACAATCGGTGACGTGGTTCAAAATCGTTATCAATGGCGCAACTGCATCCACTCTTTGTGACTTATAATACCCAATAAAACTATATTGTTTTTCGATATTACTATTCTTTCTGCTTCGTATCTGTGTTTACTGTCTCGATTTCGCATTTTCTTTTACTTTCTTCTCTGGCTTTGTGTGTTGAGTGAAGTGTGGCGACTCGAACTGATGCACATCAGTGCAAAGTTCTATGTTGAAGTCAGTCAGTCAGAATTTGCATAATTCGACGTCATTTTCTTATTGAAGATAAGTAACAGTACAAATTAAGCGCATTACAGTCTAGCTGTTTGGTGCAAATGAGCCAGACATATTCGATGTGATGATATTAAGCTCAAGGAAGATGATTGATCACATCTTATTTTATTTTATTGTAGATCTGTTACCAGATGTAACCCTAGCTGAATTCGACACCTTAAAAATAGAATTAGTATCAGGGAAACTTATTGTTGACTTACAATATATAATTTTTTTTTAAATTGTAAAGTGATAAAACGCAGTCCTTTGAACACAGCATAAATTTGCGACATTCCTAGCACTGGCGTTAACTCCCTAATTGATTAGTCTCTTAATGTCATCACATAGCAATTCTGTTCATTCTTTTCAATATTTTTTAGGCAATTCTCCTTATTTTACAAACAGTCCTGATCATACAAGTTCTGTAAGTGTATCTATCTTGAAGTCAAAAGTCGATCCATCTCATTCATTTTCACAAATAGTAGCAGCTTTGAGAAATTCAGGTTTAGGCGATCTTGTTGAACGTGTAGAAATTTTTACCTATGAACTACAGCGTATTACTGTTCTGTGGGAAGAATTATGGCTGGGTTCATTAGTACAGCATTTGGATGAACTGTCAAAAAAGGTAATTATTATTATTATCATTATTATTGCAGTAAATACCCCCAATGATTGCTATTTTCTTTTTGTAATTTTTGCTACTTTTATGCATCGCTTACCCATTAAGATAATCCTAATGCTTAGAATGACATGTAAATCTATGCTCATGTAAACAGTCTAAATTGTTGCCACTATACTTTAATTCACGTATTCCCTAAAAATGCAGTCATCAGAGTGATTGTGTTTTCTAGTCATTGAATATATTTCATTGTATTGGCGAAGCTCTCTTCGTCCTTTCAGACAACATTTACAGCTAAGATTTCAAAATAAAGTAAATTTATTTGATTTTTGTGTGAATTACATAATTATTCCTCTGGACGACCTTGGTTGCTGTCAGTCGTTAATTTACACTGGCATCAATCCTTTTGTTGACTTGGGATTTGGATTTTTTGTCTTGTCATTTTGGGTACTTCCTTTGTCTAAGATTCGTATATTTCCTCAGTCGAACTGGTGTTCTAAGTTGTCAGTGTGCGTATCATGGACTGGATATTATGTCTTTTGACAGCTATTTTATTTTCGTGGACACCAAAATGAAAAGAACGTCCAACTTGAACAATATAATGTTTTTCACAGATGTTTCACTTTATGTTGTAGATGATATTGGTTTTGTGTCCTTTCATTGTTTCATCTTTTGGTTAACATAGTATACATTAATCTGATTTTGTCGGTTTGTGGACGACAGCTATTTCAAAAGGTTTCAACAGTCTTGCAGTGATTTCAGCGATGTTCTTCATATGTAGTAGGACGATTTTCTTTGTTCTATCATGCGATGATTTTGAGTTGGTCAGTTAGGTTGGGGGTAGGTATCTTTTGATAAAGTCTTGTTGATATCCACTTTTTTGGAAGAAAGTCCCAAGATATTTTTCCTCTACTCTCTTCAAGTTCGGATGGCTGCAGTGTATCCTAGCCTCTTAAACTTTTCGTACTGTTGGGTTGTTGTTGTTGTTGCAACTTATTATTTGACGTGTACACTTATTTTCATAATTTTCTCTTGGTTGTTCGCTTGACTTAGACGTCTAAAAATAGTATTATGTTTTTGGATGTTTCTTCTCTTTTAAGTTCGATGTCGTCGTAGACTTAGTTTTGTCCAAGAATCCTCATAAAATTATTGTGATCGTATTATTTTCATGCATAATTGTCTATACCACAAATATGTTGTTCTCAAAAATTTATTAACCTCCAAATTATGTTCAGTTCACTAGGGATCATCATGTACTAATTTTCGAAAGCTTGAATGAATTACTCAAACACTAAATTTGGCATTTCGTGATTTCTGTACAGTAGTTGATGGATAACTGCAGAGTCGACTGCACTACAAGTTCTTTATTCTAAAAACAAGATATGTTTTTTTCTCACCATCTCAGAACACTTATTTTACTATTTCAATGATTTGTAGATAAACATTTTGGAGTCGGAACTGAAACGCACTGAACAAACAGATGCATACAAAAGTGCCAGCTATTTGAAGGCATTATCTAAGCATGTATCCGATGGACTTCTCTCAGATGAAAACGAAAACGCAGTTTCACAATCAAGTGATGTAACCACGGATGATACCGTTGCTTCATTGTCAGTGTATGATGCTGAAGATAAGCTGGTGACACATAAAGAGTTTTCAGAGGCTGTTGTTCTAGCGAAGTATATTGCTACACTTCAACCGACTCTTGATTTGATATCACAGCTGAATGCTTTAACCATGCTCGTGAAACCTGAAACTCCCCATGAAGAATGGTTCCAAAAGACCTTTGCGCATGTAAGATTTTTGTTTCTGTATTTCATACACTACGAATTTTGTGCATCTAAAGTTTATTCACTTGCGTAAAAACTTGGAAAAGTTAGATTTAATGTTTTCCTTGCCGGAAGATGTAAACTGTGTACACCTATCTATCCTAACTCGGTAACCTAATGAATATCATTGTACGATGAATTGTAGCCTTCAATCTTACTGATGGCATTAGACTTATCACAATTATGTTACCGAATAAGATTTTATATATGTCAGATTCTAGTAATTCTTTAGCTTTCCAGAATAATATACATGTACAGGTCAATTACCAGCTATCAGTTAATATACACTAAGCTGTCACCCACAGGTTTGTGTTGTTAACGAACTATCATAGTAGATTAAACTAGCGTTTACAGATGGTAGCGATTGTTCAATAGTCTAGTGTTCGAACCATTTAGTTATACTCTATTTGATTGGCTGTGTTGGTAAGATTGTTAGACACACGTACTTTGTGTGTGTTCATGTTAATAGTTTTATATTTGGTTAATTCGTCTTTATCATACTGTCACTTTGTTACCACACAAATGATAATTACAGTTTCCGCTAACACACATACCGCAATGCTACATGATGTTTGCAGTTGCCTGTAAAATGTAAGATGATGTTCCAGGATTGGACTACACCGATCCCTAGATTAGAAATAGGAAGTGAAGTGGTAGAGCACGTTGACCACTCCACTTACTTGGGAAGTACCATCAGCCCCAACGGGTTGATCTCTGACTAAATCTCAGAACGGATACAGAGAGCCAGTTTCGCATATGCCAGTTTACGCCGTCTCTGGCGTAGACGTGATATCCGACTATCGACCAAAGGGCGTGTGTACTGCTCAACAGTCCGCTCCGTCCTCCTTTATGGCTGTGAGACCTGGCCATTGAGAGTGGAAGACATGAAAAGATTAGCTGTCTTTGATCATAGGTGTCTGCGTTCTATCTCCCGCGTGAAGTGGTATAATAGGGTGAGCAATATTGAGGTTAGGCGTCGAGTGCTAGGTAAGGCGGGGAAATCAATCGACGAGACTGTGAAATTACATCGACTGAGATGGTTAGGACATGTATTACGTATGCCTAGTCATCGCCTTCCTCGACGGGCAATGTTAGCTGATATAGGGCCAGGCTGGAAAAGAGCTAGCGGTGGTCAAACCAAAACATGACACCAGTCAATGAAATCTACAACAGTTGATCTAAGCCACGTAGGAAGGTGTAGACTTCCTGGTTGGGGTCCTCGAGACGGTAAAAACCAATGGTTGGAAACAATTGGTGACATGGCTCAAAATCGTTCTCAATGGCGCAGATGCATCCACTCCTTGTGACTTATGATTTCCAATCAAACTGTTTTGTTCTTCGTTATTACCATTCCTTTGTCTCACACCAACCTCGCCTAGATTACTAGGTCACTAGTATTCTAGTTGTGTCTCACACCTCTATTTACTCTCTCTCTCTACTTTCTTCTCTTGCTTTGTGTGCTACATGGTGTGGCGACTTGAACTGCCGCACAAATGTGCAAAGTTCTATGTCGAAAACAGACAGACAGACAGGAGCTGCCACACCTCATATTTGCACTTCATTCATACTTGCTAACAGTACCGGATACTGAGTCTTTTGGTAACTACTTTAGTATGATTCATATATATATATATATATTGTCACATCATATACATATGTATATCACAATAAAATATAATACTAGTAATAAAGTGATTTTATTCTTATAATATTCTAGGCGATTAACGAACTACAAGAAACCCTGTCACATCCGGCAGATCCTAAAGATGTGAAAGAACCTATTTTAATTATTCGTCGGCTCATCCAGCAGCTTCAAACATCACATCAATCAACATTTTCTCAAATTCATACTGTCTTTCGTGGGGGAGGAGTCCCGGATGCTGATATTAAAGTATCAAATAACAATATTGCTTACTTACATCTTCGTCAGCTCAGTCCTCGACTTTCAAACATGCATTTCGAAAACTGTATGATTTCATCAGATAAACTAACCTGCGGCATCCCACTGCCTGGCCATTTTGGAATAGAAGCATCTCATTTGGGTAATAGCATTACTATTCTTCCAACGAAAACGCGTCCCAAGCGTTTACTACTTAGAGCACAGAACGGTCGTACGTACCCTTATCTTTTAAAAGGTTTAGAAGATTTACGCCTTGACGACCGTATAATGCGTTTGTTTGAGATTACAAATCTTGCTGCAGTTCAGTTGTCATCACACGGTTCTGGTTCTTGTGAAAACATGTTGGCTCGAACTTATTCTGTTACTCCCTTAGGTGTACGCTCCGGTCTTTTGCAGATGGTACAGGGCGCTGTTCCTCTTTACAGTCTCTATAAAAAGTGGCAAATAAGAACTAATAAGCTATCATCTAATAATTCTTACGTGTCTTCAACAGCTGCAATTCCAAGACCTGGTGAATTGTTCCATGCTCGCCTGAAAGAATTGCTGCATGCATCCGGTCAGCAATATCAGTCCCAGTCTCGCTCACACTGGCCTTTGGAGACGTTACGAGAAGTCCTCACTTCTTTGGAAGCCGAAACGCCAGCAGACTTGTTAACTCGTGAGTTGTGGGCTTCTAATCCGTCATGTGCTAGTTGGTGGAGGGTTTCACGTGCGTTTGCTAAATCAGCTGGATTGCTTAGCAGTCTAGGATATTTAGTTGGTCTTGGTGATCGGCATCTCGATAACCTTCTCATCGATTTATCAACTGGACATATCGTGCACATCGATTATAATGTATGCTTTGACAAGGGTAAAAGTTTGAAGGTGGCTGAAAGAGTTCCGTTTCGGTTGACAAGGATTTTGAGACATGCACTTGGACCTGCAGCCCAAGATAAATCAGTACGGGGATCTTTCCGGTTTTCAGCAGAGAATGGTTTACAAGCTGCTCGTCACATAGTGGATCCTTTACTAATACAACTCAAGGCCTTTTTGATAGACCCGTTAGTCGACTGGCAGAATAAGAAACATTCCACTAATAATTCTCAAGTTGTGACTGATTTTATCCACTTGTCTGCCTTTCATGGTGGAGGGAGCACCAGCTCTAGGCATTACCACTCATTGTCAACTAACCGACGGCTGCGACGTGTTGATTCAGAACTTCGTATGTATTCAGGTCTACTCACCTTACGACTTGTTGAACTTAGCCACAGTTCATGTTTGGATTCAGTATTTTCTGTTCTGGACTCCCTTATTTCGCGCTTAGCTGTGTGGACGGAACTAACAAAGGCTCGTCAGCATGCATCACTTCTGAATGATCGTTACATAACTTTGCAAAATGCTTCTCGTGATGATTTATTATCTTCTGAGCGTCACTGTCAACAAGTGGAACAGAGTGAGCGAAAAGTTGAAGAATTGTATGAAAAACTTTCTACGCAAAATAATTTTTGGATGGCTGAAATCTTATCACACTTTCAGAATTTTAGTCTGCTAACTGATCCCGAATGGTTGCCATCTTTACTAGAATCTAATAAGGTGTCGGGTTCTCCACTCGTCACTGCTTTATCAAACTATCACTCAGTTGCTCGAATTTATCTTGGGAATTCGGAGTTTACGCATTCAATGGCTTTATGGTTGGAGGAAATAAAGCAGTTCCACTCACAAATGGAAAGTTTAATTCAGTCATCACACAGTGACATTGACTCTCTAGTGACTTTCATCTCATCGAACACACCGCAATTTAGTAGTCACTTTGATTCAAAACTAGCTTCTTTACTGGAACAAGCAACCAAAAACAGTTTTGATGATTTATGTGAATTACGCAAACTTAAAGATGAAAATATAAGTGCGTATCGTGGTTATTTGAATTCGGATAGCGTTACCCATGAAGTCGATAATTTGAATTTATTCATCTGTGATCAAGGTGCTGCTGGAGTAACTGCCTACAGCTGGGCCTTATTGGACTATGTTTTGAGTATCGCAAGCAATTCACTTGCTCTTGAGGTCGAGTTTAACGAATGGAGTGAAACCAGTAGCTGCCAAAGTGTTAGAAGTAACTTAAAAGCTCTTCCGCTAGATCCACTCAGTACCTATGCAGACTGCTTAGTAAATTTATTCACCGTTCTTGGTCACCAGCCTACTGGCGTATGGAACTTCAGTGCCGGTTATGAAGCAGACGTAAGAAGAGAACTATCGTTTCTTTTAGCTGTCAAAGATTCCGTTTCTTGTATAAGTCAGTTGCATGCTAATCTAACAAGACTACTCGTTCCTGAAGCCATGACGACCCTTATAACAGCAAAAGTTCCCATGGTGAGCGATTTCTGCAGGTTCGTTATGCGTCACATAAACGAGTCAGATACAAGTAATCTCAAAAAACTCGTAGATGATTTCATTCTAAAAGATCCAGTTCCAGATAACCAAGGTGATTTGCAAGTGCATCATGTTCTTGTTGCCGTTCATCTTGCTCTCACAAACGCCACTGCTCAAATGGAAGAGATAGCTGAACGAGTTCGTTCATGTACCATTACAGCCTTGCCATGGTACTATGTTGATATTATTTCTCAAGTTACCAATGTTCTTGTGCCAAAGAGTTTAGAAGGTGCGACATCTTTGTGGAAATGGGAGTTTAGTAGATCGAACCGACTATCAGTAGGAGTTACGCCCTGTTCATGGACTGACGAAATATATACTTCTGGGATGATTGCATTTGTTTCCATACTTGAGGAAGGACTAATCCACTGGCATGCAATACATCATGGTTCTGTAACTAAGGTCAGCGATTTGAATTTACAACCGTTCAATGATCCAATAAATTCTTTCATTGGTCGTTTGTCATCCCGTATTGCACTAGCAAGCATGGTTGGATTAGCATCCGGCCGTCTTTTCTGTGCACTTGTAGAAAATACAGGACTATCTATTCGCAGGCTGCTAGCTGAAAATGAGCCACCAAATAAAGCAGGCGGTATGCCAGATGTGTTAAGCTTATCTGCAGAAAAGATAATTGAAAGTGTTAATGTACACATGTCAATTACTCAGCCAGTCAATGTGCAGCATCTCAGGGGCCCCGCAGCTAACCTCATTCATCGACTCGTTACTCGTTCAGGTCAAGAAAGTCAGTTTTCAGTTGATGTGGCCGCACTCGAAGCAGCAGAACAACATTACAAACATCTTCGTTTGTTCATGTCAGCTTACAATTGGAGGCATATGACGCAAGAAGATGAGAAGTCGGCGCTTTACCAACATGAGCCATGCTTTTCTTTAGCAAATGTTCTTGATTCAATTAGAGATGCCGCAAAATCAGAAAGTGTATCCACTGAAGGGGTGTCCGGAGTTTCGGTGGATTCAATCGCTTTCTCTATCTGTTACATTGAAACATGTAGAGTCAAGTATGTTTATTTTTTCCTTTGAATTATATTGCTTTACGTTTTTCTGAGATTTACCTCTGGGTGAAATTAAATATACGAAAATCGATTCGTGCAACATACTGCTAAAGCCTGTTCCGCATTTTCCATTTTAGTATAGTTAACAGTATAGATTCCTTTATACTTTTGTAGAATTTTTGTCATCATGCTCAAAAAAATAAGTGTGGTTTTTGCATAATCATCTAAATTTAGAGACAAATGGATGTCTCGTATATGGACGTTGTAATGTACAATAAATTTCACACCCACATATTTTGCGTGTTACGTCTCAATCAATGTAAATTAGTCTATTTTTGAAATATACCTTAGTCGCTATTCTCCTAAGTTTGTACTACGTGTATGTACTCATCTAACTATTGTAGTGCTAAATGTATGTTTTATGAATCTACATAAATGACTCATAAGAAACTGAGACAGTTGGTCAGACTCATGAATGTCTTCTGAGAATGGAGATTCTTATAGATAGTCGGAAAAGTATTTTTTGACACAAAACTGTCAACTTACACTGCTCCAGTGAGCGTTCTGTTTCTAGAATATATTGACTGATTTTCTTAGAATATTCAATAACTATCTAGAACTAACTCAACTCAGGTTTACAGTCTGTTTAAACTGTATATTTATTTGACGCAGGAAAACGTGGTGTCTTTAGTGTATAAAAATATATCATACTCAAATCATCAATTGGAGCAAAGCCAGACAGGTTTTCTAACTCACTTTAAGTAGTCTTCTGTTTATTTCAAGCATGCAATTTAATATAGTACTCATAAATTTCAACTTTCGCTTTTCAGCGGTCTTAGCAAATGTCCTTCATTCTTAAAATGCATGGATTTGGTCAGTGAACTAAAGCAAACAAAAGAACAGAAAGAAAAACTTACATCGGAGTTTAGTGAATTGGATAGGGTTGTTTGTACAATCAAGGTGGGTATTATACTTTAATAAATATATGTATGCTTTAGTTTCTTATGTATATCAATAATAAAGAGTCTCATATCAGCCGTTAAATTTAAAAAATGCATAGTGATTTACCACTACAATTAATGCATATAAGCAGAACACCAGGGAAATGTTTTTCTGTATAAACATTACTCTGATAAGTGAGCATTCAGTTCATTTCAGTTATGTGAAACATTTGTGATTGAAGCAGTTCAAGTCTTAACTTGAATATGCATTGGTTTATTTTCATCAATAGTCAAAATTATTACAGTTAAAAAAAACTGACTCTTGTCTTACGTAGTTGTCATCTTAACAAAAAAAATCTATAGATTATGTATATTTGCTAACAAAGTAAAAATAACAATTCACTTATTTCAATATCTTTTTTCAGGATGCCTATGCATTAGATTGGCCCATACTCAACTGGTTTCCTTCATCTGCATTCAATGACACAAATATGAAATCCGATTTGTTTGATCGTTTTAAAGGTGATCTTGATTCAGCTGAGTTTGCAGTCAAAAAATTACAACAGCGTCTGACGCTTATAAAACAAGAATTCATCGATATGTGTTCGAAATCGGATTCAGCGAATGAGGATAACGTTAACAATTCATCATTGCCTGTTGTAAAATCAAAACGAGCCAGTCGTAACTTACATCATTCAAAGTCAAAAAAACTGTCTGTTGTACAGCCCTCAGTTTCACCATCTTTGAGTTCTGATGTCTCAACGAATTCTAAACAACTTACAATACTAACGTCACTGCGATCGCATTTGAGTACATTACAAAAAGAAAAATTGTCTGACATTCGGCAACTTGTTAAGTTTCTCAGCCGTTATGATTCTATCCGATCATCTTTATTGTCCCACAGCCAGGTGTTGGACAACGAAGCATGCTCACTTGCATCAAATTGGAGCATTTGGTTAGATAATCATCAGAATTGGACTACACTGGTCTTAAATATGCTAAAGAATCTTTCAAAATTAATTGCGTCATTTTCCGTATCATCGAAAAGTTCTGTTTCTGAGTCAGAATCAGTCTGTGAAGGAATGGATGAGACGGAATTTGCAATGACTCTCAATCAAGAATGCGTACTTGTTAAGTATAAGCTTATAGGGGAATTGATTTTACCACTCTTGGTTGAAGTCAATGAACATGTTACTTCCAATCCATATCTATACAATTCCCTTAAAGGTTTTTTGCAGATGCTCAATACGCACTTCAAAACTATCGAGGAAACTTTCCTCAGTGAAATTAAAGAGTTCGCAATAGAAAATGTACAGTCAGTAAAGACAGAAAAAGTAAAACAGGTAAGCAGTCAACTGTAGTTTTTATCTCATACTATGTATCCTATTTTTATGGGTATGAAATAACCTACATTATGGTTTTTTGCTTCACAGAAGACTGTTTCGGGAAGGTCACTGAACAGGATGGCTTTATCTGTTTGGAATCGAGTTTATGATCGTTTGCATGGATTTGATTCGTTTCTTCCTATGGCTGATGTGAATGAACCGATGTCAATATACGCTCAAATCGATGCATGCATTCGTCAAGCCACTGATGTTGATAATCTCGCTCTCATGTATGAAGGATGGACAGCATGGGTGTGAAATTTGTTCAAGTAAAGTAGAAATCTGCATTGGTTTTGTCTGTCGATTGACTTCTAATCCTGCGATCTCAATGGTTCATTGGTGAATAGATGGATCGAGTAGGTACCTCTAGGTAGCTTGAGGAAATCCTGTCCATAATATCCATCATCTATACGTGAGAACATTGTCGACATGCCAGTTTCTTTTGATGAATTGATGGTAAGTTACATTTTCAGGTGCTGTTTTTGTTTTTTATTTCTTTAGTGCAGTTTTTTTTAAATAATAACTTAGGCAGCATATGTCAGTCTTCGGATTATGTTCTTCAGCATCTCTTAGTTGATTTCCTTGTTCATCTATTGTGAAAGCTTCAAAATCGGACGGATTGTATTTTTTATGTAGGTGGCATCTCATTATGCGATAATTCTCAGGGCAGTTATAGTATACTGGCAATTTTTGGGGTAATCGGTCACTGAATTTTTTAAAGCCAACTCGGTGCACGGAAAAATTATTCATAACCCAGTAAATAAACCTGTTTGTGATTGTACCATTTGTACTAGAAATGACAATTTATAATGTCCAATCGTAGAACATAATCCTCGTTTTTCAAATTTAGACGTCTAACAATTCATAACCCCTTATTTGAATATTGTATTTTCATGCTTCATGATGTGTTAGTGTATTGCCGATTCGTTACCTTTTGACATTTTAATTACTGCTAAGGACTTATACCCTATTTACACAGCGCTCAACTTTATCTTCAAAGCACATACCGAAGGTGAATTCCTTAACTGCGCGTAAAATTAAATCTTCTCATTGTTCTTGGCTTCTATAGTCAAATACTTTTTCATAAAGTATTGTGCCTGTTTAGTTATATATAACCACTGTTGATATAAACAGTTCTGTTCCGATCGTATATTCCCCGTCTTCATTAAAATATATTAATATGATGTATTCCACAAAATCCAACTTCCTATGGATGCTTTTGAATATGTGTTGTATGTGTGTACGTATTTTTTTTCGATATTTTTCAGTTCTAACAACGGATCTAAAATTGACTGTGATGTGGAGCATCATTACTCACAACTTTATCAATACATCCTAACCAAGGTCAACGTGGTTAATATCTCAGTAAAACAGTCGTTTTTAACAACCTGTGAATTCACTGTATTGTGATTTCTGTCGCATAGCAATGCTATTTTTATTTCCTGGATCATTGATTAATCTCTTTTTTTGTTGTTATGATTATGTAATATTAACTTGTTTCTCCTAATATTTAACTTCCTTTGTATTGTCTTCGTGCATAGTTTTATCAACCTTGACGAATGTTCATGTTTTTTGTCTTTTACTTCTTCATTTGGACGTACAATAGATTATTCTATTTTACTCTATGATGTTTACTCAGCTGCATATTTCGACAAGAAAAATTAATTAGGTGGTTGGAATATTGTCACTACTGTAAAATAACACAGTTATATGTAAGTGTGAACTAGGAATACAAGTCGCGTGGTGATAGATAATCCATCCGTTATTTATTAGCACATTGAGGAGAAGTTATACCCGGTTGTCTACTGAAACCCACAAGTTTTCTTAGGAGTCAGTATTTGATTTATTCGAGGTCACTAGATATGTACTTTGTAACCAACTCAAATTATATGCATCGTACAAAAAATTATTACTTTTATTTACATGAAATTGGAGATACTTCTGCCACATATTATACCCTTGGTAATGCAATAGTCCAAAAATAATTCATTCATTGTGTTAATCCTCTGTGCTACATTTTTACCTAACGTTTCACCTTAGATACTGTAGAGTAGAAAGATGTATCTAGAGTGTTACAAGCTGCATCCAACGATCGCCTCTATCCAATATCAGACGACAAAAAGCGTCGTTTTGTCGAATTTATTATTCATCACATAATGACAGCTATCGCATTAGGGATGCATTCGCTGATTTGATTTCAGAAAACTGTATGTAATAATCGTAGCGAGAATTGTTTTCGATGCAAGGGCTTGCTCAAAATTCAACTAGCTACTTGGTTTTATCTGAAACCAAAGTGTATTTTCAAAGACTTTAATCGATAAAACGCGTTAATTCACTTTAAAATTCATTGTTTGACGTAAATTTTTGCCTGTGAATTTTTCGCCGTAGAAAAAATAATTCACATGAATTATCAGCCTCTAAAAAGTTAAGTTGCGCGTTTGCTATTGTTAATTGACACTTACAAAACCCAGGTCTTGTGGATTAATTTTTTCCTAAATAAACATTTATCATCACAATAATAGCCACTTATGCGGCGAATACATTTTTACGTAGAATAACAGATTAGTTATATGGTGACGAAATAAACAGTATTTGTCTGACAAACGTGCTGAGCTGAATGCAGTTACAAAATATTGTGAAATGCGAGACGATGGTAATTAGTCATAATAGATTCATATAATGTGAAGGAAAATTGACAAGCCAGTTCAATGTTGTAAAAAGTGTTAGGTGAGTAGTTAGTATATATTAGTATGCAATAGGGAGGAGATAATAAGATTATGGTGAATAGTCCATCATGAAATAACCTATAGATGGAGGCATATATTGAGAAAAGAGATAATGTCACTAATAACAAGTCAGAATAGTATAAACGGGAAATTTGATGGTACTGGGAGAATCCTAGAATGAAGGGTATAAGTTGGAGATGCACTCCTAAGAGGAGTGGAAATTTTAATCTAGAACAACGCTTGGACGTGTTCTTTCTGAATAAAAGGCTGTGGTTTATTTGATCTTATCGCTTCAGCTACATGTAGAAGAGGTGGGCGAACTGCACGTGATAATGGTTTTGGAATGTGGTACATAACTTTGAAGGCTATGTTAACGTTGATGCGATATCTTGTATCCTCCACTAAATGTGATAGAATTGGAATTTTTATGCTTTTGTTTTCACCCTTTTTAAACCAGTTTGTAGAACGCTCGCCAACCGCGCATCACACCTTCCGGGGTTTGATCCTCGGTCCACTCACTCCTGATCCTCGTTTAGCAAGTAGTAAGACCAGTAGAGACAGAATGTTGGGTGTGAGGATAGCAACGCCTCCCCGTAAATATAAAAGAAACCACTGTTACGGACAATTCAAAGCTGTAGCTTGAAACCCTATGTTCCACTCGGAGCGTAAAGGAGTAAAATAAAAACTATAACTTGAAACACATGAGAATGTATGTGTTTGAGGAAAAGGCAAGACGTCTTTCGGTTTCCAGTTAAACACTGGAAAACATAAGTTCAGAGTCAGAAGTTTTATTTATCGTACTTCTTAGACGTTGGGACAGAATCCCCGTAAGAGGATTTCCGTTGAATTGTAGACGCTTTCTCCCCACTATTGACAGTTTATGTCTGGGACTATTATAACCTATTATTATTATTATTATTGTATCCTTTAATTCCTACAGGAACATAGGGCTTCAGCCGTGCGTCTCCATTGCGTTCGGTTCTCTGCTAGAGTCTTCACCTGGCTCCATGTCTGCCCACACGTTTTCATCTCCTCTTCACATGACCTCCTCCAAGTCACCCTTGGACGACCAACTCGCCGCTTCCCTTTCGGGTTCCACTCAAGGGCTTGTCTAGTGATGTCACTTGATGGTTTCCTCAGAGTATGGCCAATCCATCTCCATTTCTTCCTACCTATTTGTTTCACAATCGGTTCCTGGTTGGTTCGTTCCCAAAGATCCCTGTTGCTGATCTTCTCTGGCCATCTGATCTTGAGTATTGAGCGAAGACAACTGTTAATGAAGGTCTGTAGTTTGTTTGAGATGCTCTTTATGACGCGCAGTGCAAGTCTCTGATCCGTATAGTACCACTGACTTCACATTGGAGTTGAAAATCCGGATCTTATTTTTGATGCTGAGTGTTGTTGACCTCCACACAGACTTGAGAGTAGTGAAAGCTTGTCTTGCTTTTCCGATTCTTGCTTTGATATCCTCGTCAGTTCCGTCTTCCTGTAGTTGAAACGATGCTTCCCAGGTAGGTAAAGGAGGTTGTTTCTTTCAGGTTCCTCCCATTTATGCTGATTGTTGTCAGTTGTTGCTGTTGGTGGTGTTGCCCAGGAATTTTCATCACCTCTGTTTTATCTATGTTCACCTGAAGTCCTATCTTTGATGCTTCTTCTGCCAACTTGTTGCTTTTCACTTGCATATCTTCCAGTTTGTTGGAAATCAGACATATATCATCGGCGAAGTCCAGATCCTCCAAGTATTGTGTGTGAGTCCATTTTATGCCTGTTTCCTCATTGCCCACTGTTTGTCGCATTATCCAGTCTACTGCAATCAGGAAAATCATTGGCGATAGTAGGCAGCCTTGTCTTACTCCTGTCCTCACTTCGAAGGATTCGGTGAGTTTCCCGTTGTGGATTACTTGGCATGCAGCATTGTCGTACAGCTGTTGGATGAGATGTATAATTGTCGGTGGCACCCCATAGTAGCGAAGTAGCTGCCAAATCACCTCTGAATCGACGCTGTCGAAGGCCTTTTCAAAGTCGATGAAGTTGAGATAGAGAGGTGACTGCCATTCCAGGTTTTGTTCAATGATGATCCTTAATGTGGCGATCTGATCAATGCATGACTTGTTTCTCCTGAATCCAGCCTGTTCCGGTCGAAGTTTTTCATCCAGGGCTTGTTTGATTCTCTCCAGGATGATGCGGCTTAGTATTTTGCTTGGGATGGACAGGAGCATAATTCCGCGCCAGTTCTTGCATTGACTTAAGTCTCCTTTCTTTGGTAGTTTGAATAGGTATCCTTTCTTCCAATCCTCGGGTACTTTGCCTTCTTTCCACACCTTCTCCAGTAGTGGCGTCATCAAGTCCGCTGTTATCTCTGGATCCACTTTCAATGCTTCTGCTGGGATTCCATCTGGTCCTGCTGCTTTTCCAGCTTTTAGCATCTTGATTGCCTTCAGGACTTCTGATTTCGTCGGGGGGTTGGTGTTCACTGGCAACTCTGTCTCCGTTGTTGGTATTGTTGGGCGCGTTGTAGGTGGTGGTCGATTTAGGAGTCTTTTGAAGTGTTCAGCCCAGTATTTGCTTTGCTCCACTTCTTTGGTGAGTGACTTTCCATTGTCATTGAAGTTGATTTGGTTTTTGGTTCGCCCATCTGGTGACACCCATGTAGTCATGTGGATATCATTGTGCTTGTATGCGCTGCCGCCAATCACTAGTTCATTGAAGGCGCAGAAGTCGGCGAAGAGTCCTCCGTTTTCATTCATTTCTCCGAGAGCTTCTCTACCCATGATGAGTTCCCTTTCTGTGTTATCTGATCCCAGTTTGACGATCATGTCTCCCATTAGTATTTTGATGTCACCAGCTGGAGTATTGTCCATTGTTGTCTGTAGAATTCTTCTTTCGTTTCGAGGTCTGCGTTGTTGGTCGGTGCATAGCATTGTATAATTGACACTTTCCTTCCTTTTGAGTTGAATCTGGCGGTCATTATCCTGGGCGAGATCGCCTCCCATTGCATCAGGGCCTTCGTTGCCGTTGGTAACATCATGATAGCCACGCCCTCGGTGTGCGAGTGGCTATCTTCTGGGTGACCGGAGTAGACCACTGACTCACCCGTTGACAATTTGGTGAGTCCATTCCCGTTCCATCTGCTTTCACATATTCCCAGTAATTGAATTCCGTATCTTTTCATTTCGTTTGCGATCTGGGCAGCTTTGCCAATCTCGTACATAGTACGGACATTCTATGTCCCACAAAGACTTTTTCTTTTGTCTCAGGGAGATACATCGTGCTGAAGTTTCTGTAGCAGCTTTGTTTACAGGGTTGGGTTGCTAGCCTCACGCCTGAGAAGGGGGGTTGTTACATCAATTTATAATTTAGAGAGAAGCGACCTTATGGGGCCAAGTTAAACTTTAGGCACCACTAACTACCAATGGAGTGCGACCTCACCAATGACCTTGAAACGCTCACTGAGCAAGTTAGTGAAACCTGGCAAATAATGTTATCATCATCAATAAAATATGCTCATCAAAGTGTTATGCTATTAAATGGGATATCTGGCAAGTTTTAGCTTAGGTTTGGGAAGGATTAAGTTATGCTTTAAGCCAAGGACAAGTTACGGTTAGGTTAACCTAACAAAGGCGACATTAGACTTGGTTCGAGTTAGATTACAGTTAATTTAGGGATATTTTAACGTTAGGGTTAGGTTCAGGAAAGATTAAGATTATTGTTAGGGTTTGAAGACCTAAATAATTACATGCATAGAATGTGGTTAAATTACTCTGTTGATATAAGAATAGAATTTGTGCACTGTGGTAGAGTATAATTCCATTGTTGGTAAAATTTATTTTGGTAAATTCTTAGTGTTATACTGTAATATTTACTGATGACGTTTTGAGCACAATTTATTGCTCAGTAAATATCACTGCATAACACTATATGGTTTTGAAACTTTATCAAAATAAATTCTACCCACAATGGAATTATACTCTGTTGATACACCAACCCAAAACTGAGAGCTACTTTTATCATATGTGACAGAAAGCTATCCTCTGTAACACTTCAATACAGTTTTTATGCATTTTTTCATAAA